CTTTCTTACGATTATGCGATACCTTTTTATATGCATATATTTTCAAATTTAGAACTGGTGAATGCGGTCATTCTGGAAGCCATAGTTTACAAAGTGTAGTGCACAGTTCAACAACAGTGATTGGGTTTGCTACTTCATAGCAGCAGTGGAAATGGAAACATTGCTCTGCTATTGCTACTTCTCTACTTGAATGGATAAGAAGCACGGCCAGAATCGGAAAACACACGAGGACCTTTCTTGTTTTACTTGGTTCTATGTTTCGTTGAGGCACAGATCAGGTAGGAGAACTAAAATATGAACGAAGTGATATTTGTAGTCAGAGTAATAGCACATACAACAATATTATGATAGCCTCAACGAAACATAGCACTAATTAAAACAAGAAAGGCCTTCTTGTGTTTCCCGATTCTGACACTGTTTCTCATCTATTCAAGTAGAGAAGTTGCAATAGCAGATCCACGTTTCCGTGCCACTGCTGCTATGAAGTAGTGAACTCAACCACTGGTAGTTGTCATAATTCGCAGTAGTAACAGTTTAACATGAAGGAAGAATTTTTATTTTTGGATTCCTGATACGAATAAGTTTATTTTAGTTCCGATTCTGCATAATCTTTTTTTTTCCTTCTCTTGAAGCAATGGATTTGTCACCACTGTTGCTGGGAGATACCGAAGCGCTCTCTCCACCACGCACGAGCAACACAGGTATTTCGAAAATATACATACATATACATTTACAATATGTTTAATAGTTTTTAATCAAACATTCCTGCGCTTTCAGATGTAGCCCTACATAGAAAGCGCTTTCATGTGGCACTGCCTTACGAGGAGCGCTTTGTCTCCCAGCCAACAGTAACCACCAACACGGGTGTAGCCACTACAACAACAACAAGCAACACAGGTCAACAATTTACCTTGTCTCACCTGCTGGAGAGGCAAAAAGAAATGTTTGATGGCGTCATGGCCGCCATTGGAAGAGTTGAGTCAAAGGTGGACGGAATAGCAAATGCTCTGGCCGAAAAGGTTATATCAATGTACATATTTATGAATGCTAAAATTATTGTTTAATAATTTATTTTTTTTTTCAGATGCCCGAACGCGCGGAAGTTCAAGCTCAAGGGCAGCTACTGCGAGAGTGCAAAGTGGTGACCTCGAAAGTTCACCAAAGTATTTCCCGAATCACTGGAGATGCTATTAGTAAAGAGCATACTTTGCTTCAAAGTATGCTTCCACTATCATCCCAGGAAAAGTTAAATACTTTGGATAATCTTTTGGGAAACAAACCACACTCCGATGCGATGGTAATTTTTGCTAATTTGTTTTATTGTTTTTTATACACATATACAAATGTATGTATATATCATATTAGTTGTATATATGCATTTTATTTTACTCATATTAATTTTTATTCGTATATACATATGTATGCAATTTTTTTTTTATTAAAATTTGGTTTATAGTATGTATAACAAAAATCGTAAAAACCAAAGTTCCAAATTTTGTACAAATAATAGGAAAATTCGATAAAATTTAATTAAATTTTTCACTTTTCCAGCTTTTTGATACGAATTTTAAAAATGTTTTGAGTGTGCAATTCTGTAGCCCACTGATTTTTAGTATAATAATATGCAAGTTTGAAATTTTCACAAATGCGATTTTTTTGTGAACGGATTGGCTTACTTTCTCCCATACAAAAATAAACTCAATCACACAAAAGAAAATCTAAAAAATGCCGCAAATTTGTAGAAACTTTAAACTTAAATCTTATTATAATAAAATTCAGTGGACTATAAAATTCCATACTCGAAATATTTTTACAAATCGTATCAAAAAGCGGGAAATGGGCATGAAAATTTATGGAAATGGTTTGTATGATTTTTGTTGTACTATGAGGCACTTAACTCTATCTTTCAAGAACACGCAAAACAGCATATGTCAACAAAACATATTTTACCGTCAAAGAGAACTATATTATAATTAAAAAACAAAATACATATTTAGCTTGTTCCCGTACTCTAGGATTTGCAGGTTTTACAGGAACAGCTGTTTTTGCCTTTGATAAACCTTATGTGAACGTGGCGTATGGGAACATCTTTGGACTAAATCCTGCAAATCGTAGACGATCTGGAACGCTCTAATTATATAATTACTTTTTCGCTGTTCACAAACTTTTGAAAAATTTGGTTTCAACAACTAAATATTTTCTTTTAAATAACAGTTTTTGCTGTGACTTACCGCTCTGTAAACATATGATATTTTGCTTGTCTGTGAAAGATTTTGACGATTTTTAGTTAAAGATGCAGTTTTACTATTTTAAATAAGATCTTTCGATTGGTGTTAATTTATATTTCGTTTATGTAGTCATATATTATATTTTATTATTTACATTTATATTTATAATTGCATTTATGTACATATCTAGTATTTATAAATTTTATAATCTTTTCCAGCTGAACATAATTTTAAAATTGAAGGGTGCTAAGGGTTGTGTGAAACACGTGTTGAGAAGCATTTTTGCCGACACTCTACTCATTTCATACAATTATGAGCACAAAGCCAACAAAGCTCCACTTCTGGGGCTAAAAACAATAGAATTAGTTTTCGGTAAATATGTTTTAATTGTTTATTTGACTTATGTATTTCAGGAAGTAATGCATTTATATTTTTCCAACAGATGCGTTTGTGAGTATGCCCAAAATTGACCTCATTGCGGAAATCAGAAAGCACGTAAGCCACAATAGGTACAAACAAATTGTAATAAAAACAAGTAAGAAAGTCTAAGTTCGGGCGGAGCCGAACATTAAATACCCGGCGCAAGTATTAAATATATGTTTTCCACCTTTCCGAAAGCTACCGCTAAATGATAAGCCGGGGTGTATACATTTTAAGTAAATTAGCGTCCTTAAATTTCGAAATATTGAAATTTCAAGCATTTCTGAAACTTACCGTTATATGAAAAGCGGCCTCAATTTTAGTCCGATTTCAACAATTTTCAACGGTTTGCTTTTATGTGGCAAGCACAATAACCATACCGAGCTTGGTACAAATTGCTAGAACGGTTAGCGAGATACATATATGTGATCACAAGTGGGCGGTGCTACGCCCATTTTCCAAAATTTTGTCATAAACGTATTTCTTGGTAAAGAATTGTTGCAACCATCAATTTTGAATAAATTAGCTTCAATATTTACTGATTTATCGAAGATTTTGTATTTCTCGAAATTACCGTTATATGGGATGTGGGCGTGGTTATTGTCCGATTTTAGAAATTTTCGGCCATTTGGTATGTTGTACCAGGACCAACAATTGTGCCAAGTTTGGAAGAAATTGGTGCTGCGGTTATCAAGATATACACATGTAACCATAAGTGGGCGTGGCTACGCCCATTTGCCAAAATTTTGTAATATTCTTATTTTTCGTCTAAAACTCATTGCAAATATCAATTTTGAGTGAATTATCTTCAGTAGTTACTAAAATATCGCAGTTTTCGTTTTTCTGAAAATTACCGTTATATGGAAGGTAGGCGTGGTTATTGTCCGATTTTTAAAATTTTCAGCCATTTAGTATGCTGTACTAAGGCCAATAACTGTGCCAAGTTTGGAAGAAATTGGTGCAGCGGTTACCAAGATATACACATGTAACCATAAGTGGGCGTGGCTACGCCCATTTTCCAAAAATTTATAATATTCATGTTTTCCGTCTGAAACTCATTGTAAGTATCAATTTTGAGTGAATTATCTTCAGTAGTTACTAAAATATCGCAGTTTTCGTATTTCTTAAAATTACCGTTATATGGGAGGTAGGCGTGGTTATTGTCCGATTTCGCCCATTTTCAATACCATCCGTCCTACGCCCAAAAGAAGTTCACGTACCAAGTTTCGTTAAGATATCTCAGTTTTTACTCGAGTTATCGTGTGCACAGACGGACGGACGGACAGACAGTCACCGCTTAATCGATTTCTCTTTTCATTCTGATCATTTATGTATACATTTGTCTATATCTATCTCGATTCGTTTTGCCTGTTACAAACAACCGTTATGTGAACAAAGTTATAATACCCTTGTGCACAAGTGCGCTCGGGTATAAATAATGAAACATAATAACAAATCTAACAATAATTAATTTAATTATCTTATTATTAATCTCTAAAAAGAAGTAACATAAAAATTTAATAACTTTCCAATCTAAATTTCAAAAACGTTATTTAAATACGGCTATTCGGGATTTTTTGTATATCGACTGCGGAGTGGAAGATCGACCTCGGCAGCCAGTTCGAAAATGCCCTATCTCAAAAAACTTTTCAAGAACGCCCTATTTCAGAATTTTATTAAGAAACGCTTCCGAGTTCGGTTCAAAAAGGCCCTATCTCACTTCAAAATGTATTGCAAATGTGCTGAGATAGGACGTTTTTGAAACGAATTCTAAAACACGAATTGAAAAGTTTTTTGAGATAGGATGTTTTCGAGCTGGCTGCCGAGATAGGTCGATCTTCCACTTAGCAGTTGATATGCTCTTGAATTCTGTATTTGTGGTTTTTGGTAGGTAATGAAGTAAACTTTTATATTGTATTGCTGTAAGAAATTTCACTACTTTTTCTACCAAAAACCACAAATACACATGCAAGGGCATATACAAAACATCCCGACTACCTTTATTAATTTGTAAATAATTGTAAATAGTGTAAAAAGTAAATTTTAACAATAGTTTTTTTAATAATTTTATATTAAAATTTGCATACTGGAATTTTAGCAACAAAAAACCTACCTACCTACCTATTTATAAAAGCTTAATAATTAGTAAATGTAAATACATAGTTTTAAACATTTTAACAGCAGAAATAACAATAATTAATTGAATTACTCACTGATCTGATTATTTAAATTAATATTTTATTATTTAATAAATTTTAATACTACATTATTTTGTCATTATGAAAGCGGTCATATTTATGTTTTTAAATATGTTATTGAAATAAATAAATGAATAATGAAAAAATTACTTTTTGTACAATTTACTTAAAAAATTTGTGGTTATAAACACCATAGCACTAACTACTTCAGTAGGTATCGTTAACTACATGGTAACCATAATATTAGCTACTTCAGCAGCTATCTTTAGCTATATGTTAACCACAACATTAGCCACTTCAGCAACCATCGTTAGTTACATGTTCACCACAACATTAGCCACTTCAGCAACTATCATTAACTACATGGTAACCATAACATTAGCTACTTCAGCAGCTATCATTAACTAAGTGTTCACCACAACATTAACCACTTCGGTCGCTATGAAAGGGGAATTAGAGTAGTGCAGCTATAGTTCGTTGAAATCGAACAGTTCTATTAGTGTAAGGGAGATAACGTATCACACGTATATGAAAAAGTGGTTAATATTTGCACACGGCTAGAACAAAGTTAGCCAGTTTATATACCGCTTCACAAATGAACGATAACTACCGGTTAACCACAATTCTAGCTGTTAGCTGTCTTGCAGGGAACTTGGAATGTAGGGTTGCATATGAAGGTAGTTCACCGTTAGCCCTGCACTGGAAAAATAACTGAGGTAAATGGAATTTAAAACTGAGCTTAAGAAATAAAAACAAAGTAAAATGCGATTTAAAATAATAGTGGTATTCATCTAAACTGATAACTTTATCAAGCAGATAATCTTATAAGTTTATGCACTCTGTTACATGAACGACCCACACTCTCTTTTCGTTTACACATGCGACAATAGTCGTGTTTTCTTTGGTTATAAAGCGCAGTGTCACTAACTTTATACTACTAGCACGGGGATAAAGAAATTATAGAAACTACCTCACTAATTTGGAAAAGATTATATTTACGAGATATCTATTTAAATAAATGTACATATAACATAAAGGCTATTTATTTGAAGCAAGTTATAAGAAACAATGGCAGAATGTCTGTTTGTGTATGAATTCATTTATCACGGCTACAAAACTTTGCGAATTATCAGTGAAACGAAACAAACAGACGGGATAATAATTGAACCAGATCTCTATCAGGATCATATCGTTGTTGAATTTGCGTGCAAAATTTGTATGCGGATCCCGATTATTGCCGAAGAAAACATAGCTAGAGTTGCGACAGAGTTGCATTGTCTTCAGTTTATGAAGTTTATTCAGTGAAATCGCTGGATAAATTTATCAGAAATGTGTAAACGAGTTTCCATACAAATTTTGACAGTTCATTTATAAGGTTTACACAATTATAAGTTTATACGGTTTACAATGCATTTATAAGGTTTGATGAATACCCTTAATGAAATAATGCAAAATAACTTAATTTAAATAAGTTAATGTGAAAAACATATTTTTAAACCAAGCTAAATTTGAACTAGTGTGCTGAACACATTGAAAACGACGACCTAGGCGCTTTGTCGATGGCGACATGAATTTTTTGAACACGGCAGTGACTTCATGAATTTATATGAGTTTGACATAAAAGAAGAAGAAGAAGCTTATCTGTCGTTGGAAAAATAGATATATATCAAATCTGGCCACAACCACAGGCGTTGCGTTGTTCATTTTTCACCTAATCTATTAGAGAATAGTGAACATTTTAGTGCACTCCATTGCTTTGCAATTGAGGCTGCTTCAGCAAACGTTTTAGTGCACTCCATTGCTTTGCAATTAAGGCTGCTGCAGACAACTGCAGCAGCATCTCTGCGGGATTAATTAGTTAACTTGCTAATGGAAGCTGCGTGGAGCAGAAACAAAATCCTTGTGAGGAAATGCTGTTAATATAATAATAGAGAAACATTTCGGGAACGGCTTTGCCGTGCCCTATGCACGCTGCACCGTGCCATAAATAGGGGGTTTCCAAATATCTCGACTCCTGTGCCATCTAGCGAGAAATCTCTGTGATGTAACCGTTCGCATTCGGGCACAAGGCATCAAATCCATTTCCGGACGTCATTATCGAGCAGTAGTCCATGAACGAAAGATACAAGATCACGTAAGAACAAGAGAGTGAAAAAAGTCGATTTTTTTTAGCGGGTTCTACGCCATCTTGTTTCACTGGAAAACGAGCGAAAAGTAAACAAAGCAAAGAAAACAACGAAAACCAAAATTAGTCAAAATTATTGTCAGCCACTTTAAACGCACAATTTAGGTAAAATGATGCAACAAAATGCTTTAAAATGTGATGTCATGTTGAACTAACTCTTCTTTACTTGAATAAAAGTGTAAAATATTGGTGCTTGTGATGTAAACAAACGCTCAGCTGACGAACCCGCTTTCGCAAACTTTTTTCTCAAAACCAGTTACAAATACAACGTCGCGTTCTTACGTGATTTTGTATTTTTGGTTCATGGCAGTCGTCATCATACGAGATAATAGAGGCGCCCCCTGGTGCCTGGGGAGCTTTGAAATATAGAAATTAAACCGAAACGGGGAAAGGAAACTACCCTGTGGGTTTTATCTCTGAAAATTAATGACGAATGACAACCACTCAATCAATTCGCTGACAAACTTTGTGACAGAGAAGAATCCTCAATGTCTTCTTGTAGCGTGGAGTGGCTGACGGTGTCAACGCCTTTGACAGGTCCAACGCTACCAGAACTGTTCTCTCACAGGGGCGGTTTCGGTTTAGGCCACGAGTTATCTGAGTGTTTATAGCGTTAAGAAGTACGGTTTTTGCGCTGAGCACTTTACGGAATCCATGCTTATACTTCGCTGGGGTCAGGTGGTGCGTATAATGAGGGAGTAGCAAGGCCTCGATACCAGGTCGAAAGATTCTCATTTGTTGGCCGGTTTCCACCTCTTTAA